CCGCCGCCCCAGCCCTGGCCTCCAGGGGGCCCTTACCTGAGGGACTGCACTGACAGAGGCACCTCTGCCTTCTCCCTGCGAGGAAAGGGGCATCGAAGCAGGCTGAGCTGAGGCACTGGCCCTGCCGCCAGAGCTGCAGCCGAGCCCTGGGGTGGGCCGAGGGGCGTAGCTGGGGCCGCGGGCTCTCACCGGATGCTCTCCAGCATCTCCTTCAGGGTCAAGGGGTCGATCTGGTCCTGTGACGGATGCGGGGCGGGAAGGGAGTCTGTGAGCGCCGGGCGGGGGTGAGCACCCCCCAGGGCTGCCCCTGCGGCCCCCGCAGCAGTACCTCCTTGGCCTGGTTCCAAAGATCTTGCTCCAGGGGGTTTGTAGGCAGCTGGGGCAGGCTGAACTTGAAGTAGGGCCTGAGGTTTTTATACACGTACACGCAGGGGCCCGAGGCGATCGCCAGCGCCGGGGTCCGCGGCTCGTGCTGCTCCATGAGGAAGGTGGCGGCGGCGGCGGGCAGCGCGGGCAGCGGGCTTTCGCTCAGCACCGTAGGTCCTTTGAGCACCTTGAGGCGCGGCTGCCGCCCCGCCGGGCCGAGGTCCCCCACCACCAGCTGCAGAAAGGGGCTGGCTCGGTCGGGTGTCTGCGGACCCTCCCGGAGGGCTGAGCGCTCCCCTCCACACCAGCGGCCTGCAGACACCGAGGTGCGGCGCGAGGCCCACGCGGTGGTTTCCGGACACTTGCTGAATCGCTGCCAGCGGAACTCGGAGTCCCACTGCGCAGAAGGCGGGGCGCAGCCCGCGTCCTCACCGCCCACACACTGTGCCCCTGCGGGCGCACTGCCCATGGTGAGGGCTGAACCGCACGGCATGACTTGGAATCTGCCAGTCGCAGCCCGCCACTCCAGGGAGGTTAGGCAGTCTCGCTGGGCTCCCACGAATAAAGTGGAAATGAGTAATATCTACACGCTAAACGCCTCTCTGAGGACCTAGTCCAGAAATAGATGCTCAATATATGTTAACTTCCTTTCTTTAGACAAGATATTTCTTAATCTTTAAAAAAAAAAATGTGCCTTTTACATTTTTAATTTCTATTTTGGTTTACTTTTATATTTAAATTTTAAACTTTTTGGGGCCTCCCTGGTGGCACAAGGGGATAAAGCACAGCACTAGAAACTGTAGCACCAGTTCGATCCTCAGCCAGGGAGGGACCCCCAGGGCGCAGCAGACCTCTCCTGTCTCTCCCGCTGCCCCCTCAGCAGTGGATTTCAGTCGATCAGCCTGTTCTGCTCCCCACTGTCTCTGGGGAATCCTCTCAGCCTCTTGCCCCTCTGGCTTGTTCCTCAGTCCTTGTATGCATAAATAATCTTTAAAAATATATAATTTAAACTTTTTATTATGGAAAACTTCAGTCTCATACAGAGTAGAGACTCATGCGTGAACCCCTATGCAGCTCAATCTGCTTCAACAATGATCAGCTCAGGCTGATCTTAAAGCTACTCTGATAAACATAAACTATTTCTTTCCTTTCTGCTTTCCTTCCAGATTCTAATGCCCCACCCCTGACCAAGGGATTTGCCCTCCTAGCAAAGATTAGGCATCAACTAAATTAAGAGGCTTTGTCTCAGTAGAAACCCAGCAGCATTTTTTTCTGCTTTGCTTTATGCTCTTTGAATTAGGAAATCAGACGGTTCCCTTCACCTTCCACATAAAAATAAAATTTAACACAAAGTGTATTTTCACAGCAAACATGAATTCTAGGAGGTGCTGAGCTTCTTGAGGTCATCAAGAAATCTCAACTCTGATTGTCCTCCCTCCCTCCCTCAAGTCTCTCTGCTGGGTGGTATGCTTACCTTGTGCTCCCCATCACCATGCAAATCGGCCAGCGCTGAAAAAGACAAACGTGCCATAAGCCGTGGTTCCAGAGTCCTCAGGCTTCACTTTGCAACCACTACCTGACTGCTCCATCTCCGGCGGGGCTCCTGATCCCAGAGACTCACCCATACAGGCAGAAAAGGTGTGGATGTTGGCCATGGGGTCGTAGTGTGCGTCCAGCCATTTGGAACTGGCCTCGTTGCTGGGAGAAGAGGGAGAGTTAGGGAGTGAGTGCCCAGGGAGGGGAAGACCCTTGGCAGGAGCAGGTCTCCGGGAGCGGGGTGGGCGGAACTCTGATCTAGGGGTATGGAAGATTTGGGTTCACACTCCCGCACACACGAGCTAAGTGACTTCGAGTCTCTGTCACACACACACACACACACACACACACACACACACACAGGCGAGTTATCTCGAGAGTCTGTGTCTGTCAGTGACACACACACACTCCTTAGAGCCTCCGTCCATCACGCCACACACACACACACACACACACACACACACTCCTTAGGCTCCGGTCTCCCTATTTGGCCTCTAAGAGCCCTTCAAGGATCGCCTGCGCTGTCCGAGACCACAGACGCCCAGCGTCCGGGGACTGGGGCTCCCTCTCTACATTTGTAGGAAACAGGCCTCGAGGACGCGGCTTTCACCTCTCAGCCCCGCGGCGGTCGGAATCCGATGCGGACGCTGCAGCCATCTTCGCGGGCGTCGCCTTGGCAACCAGCTCCGTTCCGCCGCCGCGCAACCCCTAAGCGGGTCCGGGTTCCGCCAAGCGCGCGCGCAAAGGTTCCGACCCGGGAGGCGGCCAAAGGGTGAACCGGCCTCTTGCGCAGGTTTCTGCCTGCTGGGACAGAACGCATCACCCAGCTCATGCGCATCTTCCGTTGTTCCCAGCCTGAGCGCTTGGGCCCAGTACCTCTGGCTCAGCTGCAGGGCCCGCTGGCTTCGAAGCCTGCAGAGAGGACGTCTGTGTCTGTGAGCAGCAAGCCCAATTCCTCCCGCTTTATCGTCAGAATTGAAAATGATCCATTTTTCTAGCCTCACCGGAGGGTCCAGGCTCAGAGAAAAACGATAGAGACTAAGTCCCAGGATTCTGACTGAAATTGAAAGGGTTTCAATGTTCTAAAGATTTATTTTTATTTATGCCTACGAGAACTGGGCTGTAGGCCAGAGGTGTGGGGGATGAGGAGTCACAGACACAGAGTGGGGAGCAGAACAGGGGGATCTACTGAAACACACTGCTGAGGGGGCAGTGGGGAGACAGGAGGGGTCTGCTGCGCCCTGGGGGTCACTCCCAGGCTGGGGATCAAACTGGTGCTGCAGTGGCTGCGGACAGCTTCATAGTGCTGAGACTTAACCCCTGTGTCACCAGGGAGACCTGAGGGGTTCCTATTTTTAGGCTCTGGGGAGATCTTATATTCCTAGAAAATCCATGAAAGAGAACTACAAAAACTGTGGCCCATTCATCCACGCCGCTGTTGTCTCCTTATTCAGAGGGGACATCAAAACCTACATTTCACTGTTGTGCATGGGAATTTAGAAAAAAAACACAAAATTCCCACCTTGTCCCCGCTCCAGTTCTTGATCTCACCCCCTGCAAGGGGTAGAAAGAAATGAAAGGGGCAAGGAGGGACCACACAACCTACAGAGCTGGTGATGGTTGGAACATTTATTTTTCCGGTTATAAAAGTAATACATAACAGCACTGGATTGGGGGAACCGTTTTGAGTTCTGTGGATCTAGACAGCTCCCTTCTCAGAACTTTAGATTCCTTGTCAGAA